TCTTAAGAACAATGAAAAAGCAATCAGGTTCTTAAAAGAGAATTTTAATTAAAGAAAAAGAATCACCTCTGTAAAATCAGGATGGTAAATACCTTACAGGGTAATCAGATTTAAAACAGAAAATCCCTCTCGGCAAAACCTTAAGTTACAAAAAGACACAAAAACAGGAATATACATTCCATTCAGCACAACTTATTTTATCAGCCATTTAAACAAGACAGAATTTAACGCATATCTAACAAGATTGCTTACTAACTCTTTACAGGAGTTCTGACCTGCATTCCTGCTCTGGTCCCAGCAAAAGCATCACACAGACAGAGAGAACCTTTGTTTCTCTCCCCCCCCCGCTTTGAAAGTATCTGGTCTCCTCATTGGTCATTTTGGTCAGGTGCCAGCGAGGTTATCTTAGCCTCTTAACCCTTTACAGGTGAAAGGGTTATTCCTCTGGCCAGGAGGGATTTAAAGGAGTTTACCCTTCCCTTTATATTTATGACAATGCCTAATAAATGATAACACTACCTCACCAGTGCCTGCTAGAAGAGGTTCTGTCCTACCGAGCCTAAGAGCCTACTGGCTGCAGTAAAAGCAAGGGTCTCCAGAGTTCCAACGCTCCCACATGAACGCCTGCCTACCTCTGATACTGCTTGGGAAAGCAGACTATTAGCCAGATTTTTTTCCTCCCCTACCCGGGGGGGGGAGGGGGAAGGAGTTACACACCCATCTAAGAGTGAATTTTCATTCTTTAATTGGATCAACATACAATCATAAAGGCACCCTTCATCTGCAAGCACTTCACACATCAATCCACCCACTACTGAAGTATCCACATTTTGGGATAGAAAACAGCAGCTATTTAAGAGGGCATAGCAATATTATGGCCAAAATATCACCCCTAAAAGTGTGGTTTAAGATGCCAATGAGAAGAATATTTCTATTATGTCCCTTAACTGCACCAACTTTAGAAGTTCCATATCTGCTATAATAATTCATCTTTCCCCTTCTTCCAGCTTTGGACACCACAGTTCATAAGACTCAAGTCATTTTAAAATTACGTTACCTGCAGGACTCTAATAAAGGTGCTTTGGCATAATTTCAGTTGGGATGCATTTAAGTTGTGAGGGAAAAAAAATATGTTCTTTCTACAAAATTAAGAGTATCTTTACTTCATTCAGTTACAACTGGAATTCTACCTTTTAAAAGTTTTGTTTGTTGGTAAGGTAGGGACCAAGCCAAGTTACCATCCTCTAACATAAACCAAATCTAGATTTTTACAAAGTGATCTGAACAAGTTTGCCCCATGTTTTTAAACAGCCTAACTTCTGAGCTTTGTATACTCCTAAAATTATGTATTGAATCAGATGATTTGAGGACTACTCAACCACAACTATTTAAAAATATTTCCAACAGATGTAAGCTTTACACACAAATGAAGCGTTCTAATCGGTGTCCATGATGTACCAGGACTGACTAGTCTTTCATCTCCTTTTCATACTAGGAGAAAAATTTCTTTGAACAGAAATTAAAAATATTTTACTTCGAATGGCTGACATGACTTGGCCTTCAGATTTGGGGCACGCAGGACAGCAGAGTGCAACCACCACCAAAGAAATACACAAATTATCATATTTGCCTATGAAACACCTTCCCACTCTGAATAAGAACATGAGCAGAGCAGGCAACATGATAGTAACCAGAAGGTACTAACAGCAAGCTGCTAAACAGCCAAAGAGGCAGAATAAAAGGAGTATTTTGTTGACGATTAACTGGCTCAGGGCTGATGGAGTTGTGATAGTGTAGATATTATTTGACTTGTAAATTTATAAAATACCAATTGGAAACTTGTCCAATTCAAGGCTGGTATATCTAGGCTCCTAAAGACAAATAAGACTCAAATAACCACCTTACTCCTAAGCCCAACTTTATTCAGGAGGTGAGACCAAACCTTTGGTCATGAAGATAAAGTCCAGGTAGCTATCAAAAAGGATAATCCTCTGTAAATTTAGAGCAATTCTGTTCCAAGCATACAATCCTATCTCCAAATAAGCATCCCAACAAGCTTGGTAATAACACGCAATTAAGTTCAGCTCAGGAAAATTTTTAAAACAAATTTGTCTGTCATGAAGGGTGTGCCAGGCTTTCTTCCACAGGATTGCAAAGCCGGCACCCTGCATATTCAATATCACGGACCCTTGGTAAAAAAGTTTCCTCTTCATACTGAAACCAGGGTATTTATTTAGAAATAAGTTTGATGCAGACATGAAGATACTACCTTGCAAAACAAGTATATGGACTTTTACAAAGTGGGGCATTTGCTGAACTGAAGAATTCTGGATTTATGCACCTAACGTAAGTTGCAGGACTTATGTAGTACAAATGAATAAAATTTTACCTATTTCCTGTATTTTTAAAAATCCTTCATACATCAACACAATCCATCAAAATTAAAATTTTAACTTGAAAATGTCCTTAAAATGCTTACATTTGAAACAGTCTCAGTAGGTATAAACAGAACAGATGGCCTTCAAATTCCTGTTGCAAGAATAGGTGAACTTCGACTCCCACCTTACACCTAAATCGAACACAGCTAGCAGCAGGCACACTCAGGCAATGCACACCCTGTGCTAGTTCCCTTCCCACTTCCCAAGTTCTGCTGGCTCCTCTTAGGCACACCCCAGATCCACTACATCACCAGTTAAACATCACAGAGGAAATGTTTCACTAACTCCATAGAGCAACAATAGGCCTTCAAAGCATAAATACAACTATTTCTGCTACCCAAACTGAAGAGCCACTACACATTAGTAAATCCAGGCTCCCAGGTTAGAAAAACTCTACCACTGTAATTTACCAAAATATTTTTAAACAGCCAATAAAAAGTTATATTTAACAATTATGTTTAATTTCCTTTTCCATCTATTTTTTGAAGATTTGGAGGTAGGAATGATGAGGGCAGATGGGTGGAGATACACAATGGTCAGAGATATTACTGTTATTAGCTTCTGCTAACTCCACTGTAAGTAGTGAAACATCGGCTCCCTGCCAACAACTAAACCAAATGAAGACATTCTGGAATTTCAGCCTCCATTTCAGACTGTTCCTTCTCATCATGCAGTTCAGCTACTTTATGAGCAACGTATATTACAATCAAATAAGACATTGAAACATAGGCTCAAACAAATTTCATGTATCTTTATAGCTAAGGTTTCTCTCTCCATGTTAAACCCTATAGAAAATATATTTGTATCAACTCAGTTAGCAAATTAAAAGCACTCACATACTGCACTGATGTATTTGATTTGAAATCCCCAAAAGCAAGCAACTAGATCAAATCTGAAATGCTTTCCCTCCTTATTCAGATCCGCAAAGCACACTTCAGGGCTTAGGTCGAAACAGGTTGGGGACAGTGTAAGTTAACTACATCAATTCAAAGACTGACCTTGCAATCTTAGGAAAGATTTTCTCCAAATTAAACAGATGTTTTGAAATTTGATCAACTTTTGATACTTAAATCTAGTAATTAAAATCCATCTTGAACTGCAATGTATTAGTCTTGAAATTAGTCAGTGTCAATTTTTAACTTGAAATAAGATTCCACATTGGACTACAGAGAACAATGCATCAAAATTCCTTTCTGTATAGTTGTTTTGATATGCTTCTAACTCTACACACAGAGAAATTTCAGTTACATTGAACAATTGTTTAATTTCCTTTTTACAGCACCATTTGAACTATATATTGAAACCCACACCCTTTTGTAATGGTCATGTTTACCAAACAGTCCAAGTGATCTTAGTCTACAAGATTAATATTAAAAATCAACAGTCAAAGGACAGCTCACTGTTAAGATATGCTTCCACCTACTGGGTATCTACCGTATTTACTACTACATGAAGCTCACAGGGTGAAGTTTATTTCTTAGGATATTCATAAGACAATTATTTCAGACCATTTTATTAAAACTAGTTACGATCTAGTCCACATTACAGACTAATATTCTAAGTTTGGGGTTTCATTTTTTTAATTATTTTTATTTTATTAAAGTTTAAGGGTGCTTTTTATGGAATAAGGTGGCTGGAGAAAAGCATCCCAACCCAATAAGCTTCCAAAATTTTCATTTTGATTACAGCATCTGAATAAATCTCTCTTTGAAGTGTTTTTTAGAATAACTTTCCCTCTTTGACCAAGCCATGATATAATTCACTCTGGATGGAAATTGCATAATAGTTGACTGATTGTTCTGACTTCTGATTTTAGAGTTGAACCCAAAGCTTGGAAAAATATTCCAGGTCAGAATATTTCTGAGGAGAAGGGAAATGCCTATTTGTAGTTTCAACTCTGTCACGCCATATCATTTCCATTGTCAAAACGGCCCAGTACAACTCCTTTTTACTCTTTTCCTCGTCTCAGTATTAAAAACTCATTTCCTCCCCATTTACCAAAAATGTTTTCTATTCTTTTTTTTCCTGCTTTCCAGTTTATTCCCTCACCTTGGAATGAGTCGTCCAAATTTTATATCAAACTGGACAGGTCTAACACTTACCCAGTAAGAATTCCAATATGGGTCCATAGAAATTTAAGTCAATGTTTAATAAAAAGGTCTCAAACCCACTTGTTCCACCAAGGAACTTATTTATGGACGGGAATAAAATCTACATTCTCAGATCAAAATACATCAGAGAATCTTTAGTTTAATTTACAGTGGTAGTGATGACAATGTAAAAAATTAACACTTTTTAAAAAAGTAACAGACACCTTCATCCAGCAATATTGGTACATGTCTCTAATGAATGTACCTTCTTATAAGTTCTGTAATTCTCACCTTTATATAACTCCTTTGAATGCCTCTAATGCCAAAAATTCTTTTGCACCAAATTATCTAGAAGGAAGTGTTCCCTTATAATAGGGGTTTTGAAGACAGTCAACAATGAGTTTTCTACCCTAGTTCTTATAAATGTCAAAGTTACCACATGGAATAAGTAAAGTAACCAAGCTTTTCCTACCTTGTTCATTGCTCCAGGTTGTGGCCCTCTCAGTCCTGTCTGTCCTCCCATCTGGGGAGAACCTTGCTGCAGTGTCTCAGCCAACAAGTTACCAGCATTACCTATTCCTGGATTTGGATATGGCATGTTGGGTCGCCCTCTTCCTGCTCCAATTGAACCGTTCATGACTTGCCCTTGCATCATCCCCTGTCCATTGCCTGCAGCCAGCATCGAAGGATTCATGCCAGCATTCATCCCTGTGTTCATTCCCATGCCAGGCTGATTAACTGGACTATTTACTGCGGGCATCATTCCTGCAGTTGACTGGGCTGAAGGACCTTGATTTGGTCCACTTGTACCCATCCCCATATTTGGAGACGTCAACCCTGCCTGTGCCATGGGGCTTTTAACCATGCTGTTTAAGATTCCCATTCCAGGACTGTTCTGTTGGGTTTGACTTGCCATGCCTTGGCCTGGTCCCCCAACCCCCATATTGAGGTTTGGGGAACTACCAGCCCGCAGCAGTTCAGACAGCTGCTTATGTTTAGATGCAGCATCTTGTGCCATGCCAAGACTGGTTTGCAGCTGATTAATGTCACCACCGTTGGTGAGTCCCAAATCTGTGGAGCTGATTAGTTCATCTGGCAAATCGTGTTCCAGATCAAAGAGGGATCCAAAATCTAGAAGAAAAAAACAAAAGAAGTTTTTAAAAATTCAGATCAACTAATGAGATCTGAAGATAAACCAGAACAAAATAACCAAGGGTCTATGTCAGATGAACAACACACCTTCACATTGACTACTGGAGCAATATTAGAGCATCTGCTAGTATTTGAAGTTGCCAGCTCGCCTTCCTGCAGACCACCTCTAAAACTTCAAAAACTTTTAATGAGATGACACCTTTGTTTCTTTATGATACATGAAAAATGCTTCACTCCCAACCCCACATAAGCCAATTTTGCTGGAGGACCTATTGGATGTCTCAGAGCATGTTTGTGAGCTCTCGTTCTGTAACTGCGGGAGTTTTAGATTTTTAACAATGATGTCCTTTTCCAAAGTGTTGGTCACTGAAGTTAAATAGGTTTTAATAGTCAAAAAATAAAGTTTTGAATCATTAAAAATCCCTTCCCCTCAATTTCTCAGCTTTCACTTAACTAAGGCTTTGTCTATATTACACACCTTGTAGCAACACAGCAGTGCCACTACAAGGCGCACAGTGTAGCTGTTTGTTGGCAGAAAAGAGCTCTCCCACCGACAAAAAACTTCCACCCCCAACAAATGGCGGTAGCTTTGTCGGCAGGAGAGAGCTCCTGCTGACAAAGCGCTGTTCATACCAGCACTTTTCGTCAGCAAACTTTTGTCTTACGGGGGTGGGAGGTAACATCTCTGAAAGAAAAGTTTTCTTGTTCAGTTGCCAATGTAGACAATGCCTAAGTCAGGCATTTTTTGAAGAGGCACAACCTGCATTTCTAGTGTAAAAGCAAACAGAAGACTTCCTTTATAAATCATGGAGTAGCTAAAAGGAGATGTTCTTTTTTCCTTCTTTTGCTGGTCACCTTAAAATATTATCCTAATTTTGAGAACCAAAACAAAGTTACAAAATTCAATGGATCTTCACTGGGTAACGCCCACTATGAGCCTATTTGGCTGCAAAGAGTAGAATTATAAGCAATGTAAACCATTCCTTCCCTGTACAGGAAGAATATGTAAGAGTGAAAGACAGCAGGATCGGGAATCAAACCCATCTCTCATGTGGCTATGCAGTGTCACCACTAAAGTAATAAACTGGCATTTTAGTTTCAGACAGTTTGCATGCTCGGAGATGCTTGGAATGTCATTGCCAAGATACATTACAACAGCCCCAAGTTTTCTTATCTAGGAAGATCACAAATACTTGAGATATGCCATAGGTACTATGCATCTCTTAATCTGAACTGAGTCATAGTGATTGGCATATTATTTTTACAGTGTTAAATATAAACCAAGAAGTGTTTACACAAAAGATCATCTATTATATTATGAATTCGTAGTATTTTAATGACTAAGGAGCATGCTGCCTAATGTTTACAGTTGGACACTATATTATAGTGGACACTATAAAATAGTTAGCGATCAAGTTTAATTTTAACCCTTCTTAAAAGAAATTTCATTTCATGAATGCTCTATTATAGCAGATATTTTACTTTACTTTCAAAGAGAATTATTCAAGACTTTGTTTGACAGCTGATAGTGTTGCCAATACACTATTTTCACACTATTGCAATGCTGATTAAGGGGAGGTGCCAACTCTACTGAAAGCCAAAGAATATGACCACAGCAGTCCTCGCTAAAATATTAAAATTGAAGAATTAGTAGCAGAAATAAGAAGCAGGTTAAGTCTGAAAGGCTGAATTCCATTAGATACTTTCTCAATAGAGATCACAATGATACAGTAACCAAGTTGAAAGACCTCAGTATTTGCAGTCTTGGAAGTAAGCATTACTTCAGAAATGAAAAGTAAACCATCAAAAGAAGCCTTCTGGAAGTTTTGCTGCTGGGGATTAGCAAGAGAAGAGTTACTTGGGTGGACTAAGATGAAGCAATTTCAGTTCTATTTAAAATTTTAATGCCCCTATCACTGCAGTATCCAAGCACCACAGATAAAACTATAGGCCTTTTGGGCAAGAATTTTGCTTCTACTTTACAGCACTCCCTTATTACTTCATTAATTGCTGCAGTCATTTGCCTCAGTGAAGTGTAAACAGACCATCCTTTAGCCTCCATTATTTGGGGGAAGTTTGTGCAAAGGATAGGCCTTGCATTATACTTCAACAGTGGATCTTTCAATAGCGCCTTCCTTTTGACAGTCTTGTAATTTAGTTACTATTCTACAGATGAAGTTAAGAGGAGAAAAAGGGGCCCTTAATTCTGCTAAGCATACCGTTCCCAGAAGGCAGACCTAAACTTCATACAATTTCACATCAGAAGGAACAGAAAGGACTTCACTTGCTTATTGAGAATAAATATCAGTGAGTGAAAGGAAACAGGAAGGATTACAATGAAGAAACCTCTTAAAAATAGCAAGAGGGCAAGAGAATTGGGAAAGCAATAAAAGGGACATGTGGTGCCCTGAAAAGACTAAAAAGAATGTCAAACGTTGAGAGACTATCAGCCAGAAAACACTCAAGTTACCTAGCGTCAGCCTAAGAGGATCAGTAAGGAAGGGTCAGAAACAAGGCAAATGTGATTCACAAGCTAAGGTCCACGGTCCAGCAAAGATCTGGAGAGCCATTCCTGGTGGTTAGCGGAATAAAACTGAGAATTAAAGCAGAGAAATTATGCAAGAGAACATGGTCCATGAATGGTGCATCTTATTAAGCGAGTCACAGAACAAAAGCCAGAAAGTCACTGAATCAGGAAATTCCTGAACATAAAGAACTCAACTCCCTCTTCAAAATATGATGGGACATCCTGTCCATGGAAAGGCCTGCGTAAGGTATTTAAGGTACGCACCAATCCTGTAAATCAACATGAAATTCTGTTTTCAGGATTCTAAAGCCATATTTGCTTTTCCTCATGCAAGGAAAAGATCACTCAGCATTTCTCTGAAGATCTAACAATCCCATGGGATTCTCCCTCCTAATTCTCCATTTATAAGTACATGACGGCAGAATTCTAAGCCTTAAAGGTTTCTGGTCTCTAAGAACAACTCTAGCATCCACAAATGTAAGCCAACCCCTACCCCTCATTGGTAGCCATGCCAAATGAACCTTTCAAGCAGGGAGAATGCACCAACAAAATAATCAAACAAAAAAAATTTCCTCAAAAGGCAAGAAATTAACAGGTACATGCAGAAACAACAAGAACAAAATCATACTACATTGTGGGAAGGTGGCTGGGAGATCATCCTTTTGGCATTAAACATTAAGAGATACAAAATTATAAATATTTTTTCTCTTATCAAACAGGGAGGATAAAAATTAATTTTTTTTTTAAAAAATCAAAAGATTTTAAAATCATTAAGATTTTTTTAATTTAAATAGGTTTTTCCTCAAAAATTTTTATAAAAAAATTTTTATAAAAAAAATCCAATCTTAATTAAAACTATAGCTCAAAGATATCTCACCATGGAACAGGGATTATAAATTCTATAATATGAGGCAATATATTCATGTAATGTTTAAGAAAAGTTTTGTAAATGAGTTCCAATAGTTCATGGATTGGAGACCCAATCTTATGGGGTTCCAGGGGCTTCTGTACGGAAAGATTTACCTGAATTATCTACCCGATGGGACTCAGTGCTCAGTCTAGAAGATATCACCATAGAGGCTTAGTTTTGCAGTTCTCAAACTGTGGATTTGTGTCTCCAGAGATAACATGCTTGTTAACAGTAACATTTTTAAAATAAATATAGAGGTGAGAAATAACAGACCTCAACCTTATTGTCCCTCTGAAAATTTGTGTACACAGGGTCAATCCCTTACTTCTCTCTAAAAGTGCAAAGTTTCAAAAAGTTTAATGAATAGAAGATTGTTGGGGGTGAAACAGATCTGGACAAGGAGAAGAAGTCTGGAGATAAATGTGAGAAGCAGGGGGACAGGCAGTAGAAACAAAAGCGAAGCTGTTTGAGCAGCATATTCCAGAAGTCTTGAGGTCTTTCTGAGTGTAGCCTTCATTGACTACCATACCCTTCTCTCACTAGAAGGGAAAACCTATAATGGCAGCAGGCTGTCAAAGAGATCCAGTTTGGGAATATTTTAATGAAGTTCCTCTACCTGTGGGTAAGACAGGCATGCATGCAAAATGCAAACAGTGCAACAAAGAAATGCAAGGCCTGGTTACCCGAATGAAACAACATCATGAGAAGTGCTTCTTCTCAGGAGGAAGCTGCGTTGAAGATGATGAAAGGAACATGTCTGAACATGCAGGATCTTCAGGTTGGTAAACTTTTTTATTTCATACTTCTTTCTTAAGGACTGCCTGTCTTCCTTCTGGACTATTCTTGAATTTTCATGTTTGAGCCAAAAATATAGTTGTTACTCCATGACACTATCATTTTAGATGCAGTTGTGATAAAAAAATAAATAGCTGAAATAGGCAGAGGTTCCTTTTACAATTTCACCTTTAAAGTAGTACTGAGTGTCAGTGAACGCAATGAGTAATACTAAATGAGCAGTATGGTAATATCAATCAAATAACTGCATTGGACTTATTTTGTTTAGGCCAATCCATACTCAACATTCAGGATTCTGAATACTATCCACCTTCAAGATCATCATTTTCTATAGTTTCAGAGTTATCTGCCAATGATAGTGTTTCAGTCACATCATGTATGTCACATAGCCACAGTATATCACCTGTAGCAAAAAGAAAAAAAAACATCTCCATCATCCAGAAACAACTATCGATAAGTTTGTGATAAGAACCAGCAAATTACAAAAAGAGGTATCTGATGAAAAAACTGACCAGTTTGTTTATGCAACAAACTCTCCTTTCTGTGGGATTGAGAACCCACATTTCATTAACATGATTCAGTCATTAAGACCAGGACACAGTCCACCCAAAGGAACAGATGTCGCAGGCTAATTGCTGGATAAAGCATATGAAAGAGAAATTGAGCAGTGTACAAAAGGTCTAGAGGGTAAATTTGTTAACCTGAGTCTTGATGGGTGGAGCAAAGTTCACAACGATCCTGTTGTAT